GCAGAGTTTAGTGACACTGTTGTTGCAAAGCACGTATCTCAGGAAGACTAAAAAACAAGTTTCTGYTCCACTGAAGGCTCTTCAGCACACAGTGACATCCAGAATTAACARTCAGAAGAATTTTGGCACAAACAGGAGCTGGTAAACAGACAGGACAGCTGACAAAGAACCTGATTACCTCAACTTCAACAGTCTATTGATCTGAGTTCAATCCAAAATAAAGCAAATAGCCTCAGTTCAACATATTGTGTCCTCAGACTGTGCCAAAGGTTCACCTTCCAAAATAACCCAAATCCCTCAGCGACGACAACACAGGAGAGGTTACTGTATCTCTGTGAATGTCCAGAAGTGGGTGAAACAGAAACCTGATTTGAACCCTTTGAAACATTTCAGAGACCTGAAAATGGCTCCAYCAACAGTTCTCGTCCTGTTTGGCTGCATCATCAAACAAAACAAAAAAAAACTGTATTTGTTGCCAAAGATGCTTCGACTCAGTTCCAAGTAAAAAATCTGAATACTTGAAAAGGTAGATTTTTTTTTTCTTTTGAAGCATCTTTTGATACCTGTGTAATCTTAATATTTTCTCCGCTCCTCTTCCTCACATCCAGATGATAAACGTCCTGACCAACGACGGCCACAGATTGTTCGAGGCAGCYTTGTTCGGGAGCTTCACTCTCTCCATCCCGGTGCTCTTTATCATGTGCATCGTGTACTCCTGCTATGTGCTGGGTTACACCGCACTGATGGGAGTCTTCACCTACCTCATCTTTGTCCCCGTGCAGGTCGGTCACTCCACGTAGAAGCAGGACAAAAACAGTTTTCCCAGGTTTTACTAGAGGCCTGTCACAAAGAGCCTAAAAGCAGCATCTAAAGTAGTTGAATAATAACCTGCTGAAACATTTAGTTGGTTTGACTGATCCCCTGAGGTAGACCGAAGCGCATGTCAGAAATATTTGACGACTTTGCTTTGCTTCGATTGCAAAGCGATAAGTTATACTTTTATTTTTCCCCTCATGCAGATTGTCTTGGCCAAACTCATCGGCAAGTTCAGACTGAAAGCCATGCGGATAACAGACAGTCGAGTTCGCACGATGAACGAGATCCTCAACAGCATTAAGCTCATCAAGATGTACGCCTGGGAGGAGTCGTTTGAGAAGAAGGTGGCAGGTAAATCAGAYAAATAATCATTCACTTCAAGACTTTTTGTGAAAAAAAAAAGGTATCTTTTCTCAATCAAGATAAAAATAATAATTCCAAACCAGAGTGGCTGGTGTCTCTATTCCAAACAGAACTTCTGTTGTGCAGTGATCCTCTTCAACCAGTTTGACAGTACTTAATAAAATGGAAAGTTGCGAACAAGTTGTGAGAAAATTAAAACTATGACACAATCTTGCCATTTTTATAAAATTTTTGGAATCCACTCTGTAGCACTTTTAACTTTTACCCAAGTTCCTTAACGAAACGTAGGATATAAATAAAGGTCGAAGGTGTTTTATTTTGGGTCGTGTCCAGAGTAAACACATCTACATCTCTTTCTTTTATAGGATTAAGAAAACCTGAGAAGAAGCAGATCCAGCTGGTCAGTTACATCCAGAATGCAAACACCAGCATCACCAGCATCATCCCCACCCTTGCCACGGTCCTCACCTTCATGGTTCACACGTTGCTGCGTTTACCGCTCAACGCGTCTGATGTAAGCTCCACAGATCTGTGGTTTGTGGAGGGGATGAGAAAACATGGAGGGTCTACACGAACATGTCCCACTGATCAGATTAGTGTGTTGAAACTTAGAACCACTGTAAGAGTTGACACTGTTGTGTTGTGTAGTTACACACTCTCTTTTTCTTATCAGGCCTTTACTACAATTGCCATTTTCAACTCCATGAGGTTCTGCCTTGCTCTGATGCCTTTGTCTATGAAGGCCCAGGCTGAAGCTGTTGTCGCCATAAAACGACTGAGGGTAAAACTGTCTGCTACAGTAAARATCTAACCTTTAGTCTGAGTTACAGAGCTCATACACACCACACATCCAGTACYAAACTTAAAAGTYCAATGYATGGCTTCTTTTTTCAGAAACTGTTACTGGTCCAGAACCCGGAGCCCTACTTGATCCAGAAGAAGAGCAGCCGTTGGGCGATTGTGATGAAGAAGGCAACGCTCTCCTGGAGCCTACCAGACATGCAGCCGGACACCGTCACTGGCCCGGACGGTCCCGGTAAAGAACACGAGATGGCGAACGGGACGACCAAGAAAGGAGACGCCGACAATTTGGTGACCCTGAGAAACATTTCCTTCACACTGCCGAAGGTGTGCGGTTCCTCTGATGAGAACAAATGAGGTTATCTCTGTTCTACTGAAGGGCTGCTTAACAACAACTCTGTGCGACTTCCTGTAGGGCAACCTGCTCGGTGTCTGTGGGAACGTGGGGAGTGGGAAGACGTCACTCATTTCCAGTGTTCTGGAGCAGGTTGTTCTTTTTTATGGTTTATCCTAATCAGCTGCTTCTTTCTTTTCTTACTGCTGCTCTGTTCCACCAAACAAAAGCAAAAAAAAACATATTTTAATTTTATTTTTATGACCAATCTGTACGTCCATCTTTTTTTTCATGACTGCCTGTTTGTGTCTTTTTTTAGATGCACCTTCTTCAGGGCTCCATCACGACCAGTGGGACGTTTGCGTACGTCTCCCAGCAGGCCTGGATTTTCCACGGAACGGTTCAGGAAAATATCCTGATGGGAGAACCTTTGGATCAGACCAAGTAATCAACCAAAATACAATCGCCGCTTCAACGGCACCTGAGTGTGTGGGTTTAATGTGGAAGAATAATGCTGACTCCACTGCTGTTGAGGTTATCTCCCATGAAAAATGTTTAACAGAGAGAAAGTGAAGCCTCTGTGATGTCACAGCTGGCGAGGTAGTTAAACAGGACCAGAGGTCACCTCCGTTATCTGTCACCTTTATGCACAGAAGGCTCAGACTGCCAGAGGTGGTGAAAGATTCACTGCTCCCCCAACGATGTAGACTTTATGAAAAGTTTATTGCCATTGCCCAACATGATTTCTCATAAACCTTTGAAAACCTGCATGTACTAATTTAAAACATTATTGCATCTGGTAAATTTAGGTGAGAAGTGATACGAGTAGTTGTAAATKAAAAGTGCTCTCCAAAGTGTTACTGTCTTTAAAACTCAGTGTCAGCTCTTAAAGATGCCTTTCTGTGGTTCTCCACAGATATGACAGAGTTTTAGAAGTGTGCAGCCTCGAAGCTGATCTGAAAATCCTGCCATATGGTGACCAAACTGAGGTGAGCAATGGCTTTATCTGGATTCTTTCCTTAAACGCTGCAGTTTGTGATGGGGTTAGAGCGTCTCTTTGCCAGAATTTTAAAGTAAGATTGTTGGATGTCGAGAAGTGAAACGAGATCTGAAGCTGCAGATCTGACCTATTACAGTAAATTCTGAGAAACCTTGATGGTTTTTCTGTTAAAGTTTTCCTGTTTAATTAAAAAAAACTAGAGGTTTTCAGTATAACCTGAGGCCTCTGATGTTTTGTTGGCAGATTGGAGAGAGGGGGCTGAATCTGTCTGGAGGACAGAAGCAGCGGATCAGCCTGGCCAGAGCCGTCTACTCCAACAAGGACATCTTCCTCCTGGACGACCCGCTGTCCGCCGTTGACGTCCACGTGGGGAAACACATTTTTGAAGAATGCATAAAGAAGGAGCTCCGAGGAAAATCTGTCATACTAGTGACACACCAACTCCAGGTAGGAGTGTAGACGTGGCTTTATTCTGCAGTCATCCTCAACGTCAGTGACTTTAAAGGTGGTCCTGTTTAGTTCTTGGATAAAATGTTTTTGGAGCGTGTGAAATGATCAACAGTTTGAATAAACATTTCTGTTGTTGTTGTTCTGGACCGACACTCTGTAAATCTGTTAAAACCACAGTGGCTCAAAGCTGAATTTCCTGTCAAATTCAACCAAAAGCTGATTGTTTCCTTTACAACCACAGTTATTAAACTGAAGGGGAGGCAGGAACCACGTAGAAAAAAATTTGGTACGTTTGGTTTTAAGAAAAGAAACGTGTATAATTTTGAGAATCTCCTAATGTGTAGTCCTGTTGAGGTTCCWCTAAAATAACTACTCCACTTTCTGTCCTCCACAGCATGATTTTTGAAACATTTTTTTCTTCATTTAGACTTATTGGGCCTCATGCAAGAACATGTTCGTATTCTTATCCTAAATTTCTCTTACTTTTGTTCGTACAAAGGGTTCGTATGAACATGTCACGTCAGATTCAACAAACKCTTCTATCTTCAGGAAACGTGCGTAAATGAGCTGCGTAATTTACACCCGTTCTATCCAGCTGCTCGTGCACGCGAGAGGAGATTAGCATAATTACCACCCCAAAAACACCATATAAGGCTGTGTTTCCTACCTCACATACAAGGAAGTGTCCATTCATTCATGAAAAATGACAGCGATAATTAAAAAGAAGAACTTTCCGAGTTCAGAGATTGAAGTCCGTCTGTCAGAGATCCAGAAAAGAAAATCTGTCATTTTTAGCAGCTCAGCTGTGGGATAAAAAAGAGCTGCTAAAAGTATAAACAACTGTGTTAAATCATTTTCATTTATTCAGAAGCCGCAGCGCTGCGCACCGTGCACCCCCCCCCCACCCCCCCCCGCCGCGGGGGTCTCAGATGCGGGTTTGAAATAAGCATTTTAAAATGTTTTCAAAATAAGTCTGGCACTTTGGAGAAAATCAAGGACTCGCTGGCGCACCTAATGGCGGAGAAGCCGGCCGGACGGACAATTTATAGTTAGTCTAAATTATTGCATTTAAAATTATAACTCTAATTCAAGCAGAATAGCCTATTGTCAACATAATTATGGAGTGTGATTTATTTTCAACTCAAATTATCTTCAAACTAAAGAAAAATAAAGTTATTAGGGAGGAAAACCCATCTGGATAACAGCAGACTGACTGCTYGTAAAATATACGACAGGTCTGGACCACTCGTRAATTTTGTTCGTATCTGAAAAAAATCTTAGAATAYGAAAACATTGGTGAATGCCACAAATTCTCCTAAATCACTCGTACGCACAATTTAAGAACAAATCTGTGCGTACGAACGGTTCTTGCATGAGGCCCAATGTGTGGTCTGTATATTCTGATTTTTGTCACTACAACAAGGTTGTCCAGTCCTGGTTCTCAAGGGCAGCTATCCTGGTATATTCAACCCGTTTCCCTGCTCCAAAACACCCGATTCACTCATTAATGCCTGTTCATGTTCTGCAGGAGCCTGTTAATCACCCATTCATTCAAACCAGGTGTGTTGGAGCAGAGAAACCTCTAAAATAGGCAGGATAGTGTTATGTTTTAGTAAAACTCCAGACAGGACTTCGTTTGACAAACTCAGTGTTCCTCTTTAATTTTTGTGTCACACCTGCTAACATACAATCACTTAGTACTCTTCTTCATGTAAAGGTACAGGTAAAGGTGTAAACACTGCCACCAAGTGGATAAGTGTTTTAAGACTATCACCACAGATAGCACCCTTCAAGGACCAGGATTGGTCCTGAGCTACAGAGCAAGTCTTTGTCAGTGGACCACAAACATTTAAAAATAAATTTTAAATAATTATTAAAATAATTTGCCCTTTGAAAATTTCACTGCACCAAAAGGAGGAAACAGTATATAAAATCACACAAAGTGCAAGTTGTGGTATTTAGGGGGAAAATTGCCAGTCAAATATTTTCTATCTGTGTGCTGTATGAGCTTTCTTTTCCTCAAAAGTTATGTTCACATATGTTTGCTGGTTATCAGATATTTATCTTTGCTTTTGTCTTTAAGTATTTAGAGTTCTGCGAAGAGATCCTGGTTCTGGAAGATGGTGAGATCCGGGAGGCTGGAGATCACCAAACACTAATGAAGGCCGATGGACGCTACGCTCAGATGATCAGCAACTACCAGATGGAGCAATCCAAAGTAAGACTAATGTCACTGTAATCCCTCCTCATGTCGTCTTTATGGTTTTACAACTTTAAAGGCCGTAAAGAGAACAGTCAGCTGTAAAACGAAGAACGTCTTGTCTATGCTCCGTGTGTTTTTTTTTGTCAGAGCCAGCTGTAACATCATGTCCTCCACTCTTTTCATTGTCAGACTCGGAAAGAAGACGAGGAGGAGGTTTCACCTGAAGAGACTGCCGAGCTGAAAGAGCCCAGACGGCGTGCCGACAGCGGCATAATGAACCCCGGTATGAAAACAAAGAAGAAAACCTTTGCTTAGCTGCATAACATTTAATGCTACAGGTCACAGCGAGACTTGTTTGTGGCAACATGGTGATCTAAAAGACAAAGACATCTCTGGAAGCAGTTTACAGTCCTGTTATAAATGTGCTCGTGGTCTACTTATATGTAGGTCGATGAAAGGAAAAACTGTTACTATTAGTCAAACTGTAAGGTCAAAAGTTCAAACCAAGACAAAACTTTACAAAGCTGATAAAAGAGTAAATATTAAACTTAGCTTTTACTGCTTTCTACTGGTCTCAGATTTTAGCTGCTTGTTTTTCAAAGAAAAATAGCAGTAAATAAAGAAACTGGGGCTAAAGCAAAAAATTAAAAACTTGACCTGCTTTTTAAAGTTTAGGCATTAGAGTTGCTTCATTTGTAAGAAGAAATGTCCAAAACTGTGTTATTTTTTTAAATCCCAGATTAACTAATTAATATCTTTACTGTGTTTCAGCGTTTGACATGTCAGATGAAAAGGAAGATGGAACAACAGACAATCAGAAATGTGAGTCTGAAACAAAACTTTATTGGTTTTCGGGGTTTGGAGTCTAGAACAAATAAAAAGCTTTTATATATTTTACTTTTTGTGTGTTTTATGTGGTGCACAAGTAAAACACTGACTACATTTAATGAAAGAACTGAATTTTAGAGTTATGAGTCTGAAAAAAGGTGACTGATGACTAAAACTGGGAGTATTGTGCAGATTAGGATGAATTCATGAACGTTTTAATATTTGTCCCAATTGGCTTTTTGTTGAAAAATATTTTAAAAAGTTAATTTTTTTCTGCTCTGAAACATCTTCAAGTGAATGTTTGTGAAATAAAAAAATACTTCCTAGTTAATTATGGCACTTAAAAAAACCACCAGATAAGTTTGTATTGATTTTCAGGTACTTGTACACAACAAAAACTTAAAACAGTGTTGAAGTGGCCAACCATCTCAAAAAGGCAAACAGTTTATGTGCTTCACATGTTAACAACTTTTAAATCCCTAATCTTGCCAAAAACTTATAAGTAAACGAAAAGAGTAAACGGAAACAAGAGTTGAAGGACAAGTTAAACTGGCATGAATTCACTTAAAAACATCCAAAATATGTTTTAGATGTAGTTGTTTGAATACATCTGAAAATAATTTAGTTTTTACATAAACATGGAGAAACAATAGAAAGAAGCAGCTTAGGCTGCAGTCTAAGGAGCAAAGGCTCAACCCACTAAGTAAACCAGTGGAAGGAAACTATGTCACTGAGGCAGGCTAGTAGTAGTAGTAGTATCCTTTATTTAACCAGCAAATTGACTCATTGAGATTTAAAACCTCTTTTCCAAGAGTGACCTAGCCAAGACAGCAGCAAAAATAAAATAAAATAAAATAAAAAAACACAAAAACAACAAATCCAAATTTCAAAACTAAGAGACATCACATAGCTAAACTTTAGGGCATCTACAGGTACCAAGTGATCTGGTGTCTCTGTCCTTTAAAAATGATTTGAATTGTCCCAAGGTAATGAGAGATAACTTCAAGTCCTTCTGTGTGTTATTCCAAGTGGCAGGAGCAAAAACTCTAAAGGCCTTTTTACCAAGTTCAGTTCTAACTTTTGGCACCTGCATCATAATGATGTCCTGAGAACACAGGTCATAATGGCTGCAGGTTCTAGACAGAAATGAGCATAAAGATGAAGGAAGATGCCCAAAATGCATTTATAGATAAAAATCAGCCAGCGAGAGAGTCTGCAAACAGTCAAAGATGGACATTTTGCTGTAGCATACAAAGTGCAATGATGTGTTCGATAGCTACAGTTTGTCATGAAATGCAGTGCACAGTGATAAACGGCATCCATTTTTTTAAATGCTGGGCTGAAGGCTGGTTGATTATTATATTTTAGACATCTTGTGAAAATTTTGTCCAGCACTAAAGATGTCTACGTTGAAGATGGATTTTTAAAAAAAAATCTACCAGAAGCCTCTTTTGGACAGGTGTAATGGTAATGTGTTGATCTCATATATAACTTATATGAGTAATTTATTCATAACAAAATGTTCACAAGTCAGCAGAAGTTGCCTAAAACTTTATAGTCTGACAGGGCCTTTAGTGAGGTGCTTGTGTCTAAAAGACAGAAGGAACGATGAATAGAGGGGCTCACTGTTGACTTCTGGTGGAGAGATGAGGAACCATCAGACTAAAAGAACACACACATTCAGTATTAACTGGACACAAACAGCTGAACTCTTTCTCCTCATTTAGCTGCTGAAAACACTGATGATCAGCTGGTCAGCAAGGAGACCTCAACAGAGGGATCTGTCTCCTGGAGAGTTTACCACCAGTACTGCCAGGCAGTTGGAGGTCTGACACACACACACACACACACACACACACACACACACACACACACAC